CCCCTCAATTCTCTAGATCCCTCAGGGCACACTCATATATCCCGCCTCTCCCTCTCTCCTTCTCCGGGCCTCACCCCTCCTCCGCGGCTGGGCTCCCAGCCTCTCATCCAACCACAGCTATTTTCCAGGAAGGGGGAGTGTGGGTGGAGGGGTTTCTCCAAACAAACCCAAGGCTTCGGAGTGAGAGGGGGCCAGGCTGGGGGAGAGACTGACAGGCTCTGGAATGTTCCAGGCAGGAGTAGGGTGAGGGTCCTACCGGGGTCTGGCCATGCCTTCCCAGCCCTGCCCTGGTGAGCGCCTTTTCCTCTCAAGCCTGTTTCCCCCCTCTCCATCTCACTACAGAGGTGCCCCCCACAGAGTGGGGAGAGACTCAAAGGCATTCTTCCCTGGCCACCCAACACGGGTTAATGAGTCCCCCACGAAGGAACTACCAGGTGAGGGGACTTTTCAGCCCCTGTGGAGGCAGCAGGTGTAGAAAGAAGCATGCTGAAGGGGCATGAAGGGGCAGAGAAAAGGCACCCCAACCCACACACCCACCATAGTGCTTCTCCTACAGCAAGGCTCTGAACTGGACCAGGCCAGGCCCAGTTGCCCACACTGGCCAGGGGCCTGGAATGTCCTGGGACCCAGCCAGGGTTGGTGGGATAGGAGTGGGTTGCAGAGCCAGTGCCCCCTCTCCAGTTACACGCTAGGGGCCCAAGCCTGGCCACGGAGATACCTCCCTCTGGCCAAGGTACCCCGGGGACAGACTTTCTGACTTGGAAGGAGAATTAAATCTTCAAGGGCAAAGCCTCAGGCCAGGCCCATGCCAGGCAAGTCCAAAGAAGTGTCCTGAGTGGGCTCTCCTAAGGGGGCTCATCCCAGAGAAGGCAGGATTAGACCAGTCCCTTGGGCCTGAAGGAGGGAGAGGGAGGTCTAAGGACCAAGTGGGAGAAGGCTGAGCACCGGTACATTCAGTAAATACCATGCAAATGAGGGGAGGCATATTTGCGCGTTCTTTCAAGTGACAGCTCCGGCCAAAGGGCTGCTGTACAAGGCTTGGGGCTGAGGACCCCTGGCCCTTAACCCCATTTATTTTTGGAAGATTACTGCCCCCCACCCCACCCCCCACTTCCAAGGCTCCAGTCCACCTCCTTCCCTTGACTCTTGGGACAGGAAGTTGGCCATGTTCCCAGGAGGGAGGTAGGAGGCCCACAGAGGGGGGTGGAGTATGTGTTGG